AGAGAGAGAGAGAGAGAGAGAGAGAGAGAGAGAGAGAGAGAGAGAGAGAGAGAGAGAGAAGAAGAAGAAGAAGAAGAAGAAGAAGAAGAGGTACAACGTCAAGCACACAGGACAGGACTACATGCAGAGGGGCATGGAAGATGGGGAGGTCCAAGGCAGCATGGCAGGCGACGAAAGATCTCAAGGGTGGATGTGTTTCCAGTGGATTGGTTTCCAGCAGCAAGCGTTGCATGGGTTGCAGCTGCAAGTGTCGTGTGGATTGCAGCAATTTTTTTGGCGACGGTGCCAAAAACGCGACGAGTTTGAATCCGAACCGGTCGGGCCCCTGCTGAAGGGTATTTCACAAAGATGCCTCCCCGGCAGGAGGGCATAGCAGACAGCCACCAGGGAAATGGGACAGGCAGTCCGGTAAGGGCATCCCAGAAAGTTGCAGCCCTCGCCGACGGGACCCTGCTGGAAAATTCAGAGGCTCCAGGGGCATGACAGGGTAAGTTGGCAGTCGGAGGAGCCTGCCGCAAACAAGCAGATTTTGGATGGGCATTTCGAAACATTTTCCCCCAAAAGAAAAAAATGCTACGAGAATCGGGAAGGGATTTCTGGAGGCGCAGGCTCTGCCACGGTGTCGCTGGGGAGCTGGTGGGCTGCCTGGGTAACCGGCCGGTCGGTGATTCGGTTGGACGCTATTGTTTTATTGAGTCCGATTCGTCTTCTTAGTTCACGTCCAGGTGGACCCCCTGCGCGACAGGCGAGGCCACACCAACAAAATTGGGTGCTCTCGATTGGACCGCGTTCATCCTCGTCCTCCCCGCCTTCTCGAGCAAGGCGTGACGTGAATACAGGGTCGAATAAGCTACATTCTTCTCTCGATTTCACCTCACACTACCTACCTACCACTACTCCTAGTTATAGTCCTACGGGGAACCCCGTAGCAGCCAGAACCGTGTTAACGAGAGAACATCCGGGGGCTAGGTCCCACTTGCACCAATTATGCGAAATTGACCGTCGATAGGGAAGATCAACGGCCGAAATCTCCTAATCCGTGCAAGCGGGACCTTGCCGCTAAAGCCCCGGGGGCTGCTCCCGACCTGCAGGTGGCGGATACCGGCCAGGGGACAGCCGGTAGCATCAGGGACCATGCCAACAGGATCAATCCCTGTGCCTCCCCTCAGGTGGTGGTCCCCTCCCTTACGAACATCAGCAGACTCTGCTCAATGCCGATCGGGGGATCCAGTGGTCTATCTCTAGGTGGCGGGCGCCAAGCATGCCCCAGGAAGGTACAATATGAGAATTGAACCCCCGACCTCCTGAATGCCACTTGCAAGCCTTACCGATACCAACTGGATTCGTCCACACATCCTTCTTTTCCCTCCCGCACCCCTCTTTCGATCGTGTCGGTGTTCGCCAGGGTCGTGAATGAGGTCTGAGGTGGTCAGTCATATCCCGCCTCGTTAGCTGATCAATCAAGCGATTTGCAAACGAGCTGGAAGGTTGTGAGAGGAACGCGCTTGTTGTTTTTCCCACGAACCCACTCCCCTTCCGCTTGTTCCTGATGCGTGCAGATCTTGCCCAGGCCAGTCTCCCCTCTCCCCATTACAACCGCACACACAAGTCAATCAATCATTCACGCTCACCCACGCTCGCTTTCTCGCAGTGGCACAGGCGCACACAGTCTCTACCCTACTCTGTAAGTCCCCCTTCCCCCCCCCC